AGCGACGCGAATGTTTGCCGCGCTCTGTCTCAACACAGCATTCATCTTCGTTACATACGACCCACAGATAACGCGCGACAAAGAAATCGGCAATAGAAAACAAAACTTTTTGGATAAACGGGGTACACTGAGTGAAACAAACTATTAAATAATTTAAATTTTCCCTTTGTAAAATTATCGTCCTCGCAGCACACGGTGTGAATGGTTTGGCTTATTGCCAAGAGTTTGACAATGTTTTTGATCTCAGTTCTCGAGCGCCAAAGGAGATGTCACGCAAAATCCTATGATCTCGTGCATACGACCCACAGATAACGCACGGCAAACAAATCGGCAATAGAAAGCAATATTTTTGAAAAAATAAGGTACACTGAGTGAAACAAACTACAGTATTAAATAATTTAAAAATTCCCTTCGGAAAATAATCGTTCTCGCAGGACACGGTATGAATGGTTTGGCTTATTGCCAAGAGTTTTGCAATACTTTTGCTCTCAGTTGGAGTGTGAAGATGTCACGCAAAATTCCATGATCTCGTGCATGAAATAATTAAGGGTAACATTGAATAATTTCATTGCATCTTTTCGGAAAGGAAGTGATTTCTTTGAAATCTTATTGAGCAATATGACCCCGTAAACCCCATTTTGACGTGGAAACCGCGTTCTATTTTGAAAACCCTTGGTTTAATTAGATTAGGTCGTATTCCCTCATACACGAACCACGAAAGCGGCACATTTTAAAGCTTTCACGTGGAATGAACGGGGAAGCAATGCGCATGAACAGTGAACCTCGTTGCAAAACGAGCCAGTCCGGCTGATATAATCAGGCCCTAAGTGCTATAGCCACATTTTACGCCCTCCCCTTGACCTCACCGAGTTTTCAAAGCCCCCGAGCACACACATCAAATTTCAGCCCCCGCCTCCCCCTCAACATCTTCATACCCCTTCTCTACATTAAACGAACTTTTGGCGTTATCCATGTTCTCTCCATAAAAAAAAAAAATTATCAAAACAGTCCTAAACAAAAAGCCTAACAACTTGCACAATAAGTACAAGACTTTTCACATCAATACACTTCATTTCAACACACCGTAACTACACTACCCCTTAATAACCAATTGAAATTAGCACTTTCACAACTACTTCTCTGCAACACCTAAAATCACTTTTACCTCCCCAAATAATTATTTTTTGTTACTTCATATCAAATTCTACGAGAAACAAATTTCACTGATTAGCAAACTACAGCCACTATCTTACTAATTTACGTCCAGGATAACTCCACACCTTCCACTTCAGGCATCTCAACCAAACCCTAAAATATACAACGGTACTGCATTACTCGCACATCCCTATAATACACATAAAAAAGAAACGTCATACACACGCGTAGGGCATCGACGCTCAAATATACGCTCCCACAGCGTCTTGTTAACCTGTAGTATCAAAAGCATATAACCCCTTCGGGGTTATATGCTTCTGCAAAAACTTAAAGAAAGGATCAAACCGTTTTCATGCAACATGCAGTACGTTTCGTTGCAGTGGAACGTGCAGATGATTAATCTTTGCCAGGACAATCCACTTGATACTGCGTTGAATGGCTATAAAAAAGTCCACCTATTGTGCGTTTACTTGGTGCACATTTTTTTTATACGGGGACTGAGGAGTGGGAACGTTTTTTCCAAGTTCTTTGCCAATTGTCAGAGAAAGCAATGGGCAGAATCCTACCGCAGGGAACTCTCTAAAAATAATGTAGCTGTTTCTCCTTCTATTTACGACTATCCTCTATGAGGTTTCCATTCCCAAGAAGAGCCAAGTTTTCAGATAGTGGAAAAATTGCCTAAAATGTATTTTAGCAACTTTTGTAAGACGGAGAGAACTATAAAAGAAAGAGGGAGAGTGAGTGAGAAAGAGGAATGTTTCCTGCTACGTTGTTCAACTTAAGCCAGTCCCAAAAATCCTTTTTTATCAGGGTAAATTGATTAAGTTTCGTGTTTTAATCGAGGGAAACGCCAAATAGTTTTGCATTGGAAAAATTACCTGAAAGAAACCAACGGTTACGTGCGGCAATTGCACCATTTTTGAGCTATCCCTTATTTATTCTTTGTACCTTTCCTCTGTTTATCTATCTTGTTTCGAATTTTTATTTATCTTCGACATTCTTCAGGTACGGGGAGCGTGAGTTCAGTACTGGCCTACAGCAGACGCTGTAGCGGTACCGGGGTAGATTCGCCGCACCCGTAGCGGGCCGTAACAAGGGTAGCTTGTCTCGTACACTGATATATGGCTAACCTGCGTAGCAAGGCTTAGGAAGGCAATATGGACGAAAGAAAGAACGGGGCGTCCATGGGGAGACGGCTAAGAAATGGCTAGCTACCGGGACAATTAATCATATGGCAACGCACATTTAGGCAAACATGGTCCTCTTTACTATAAACACAAGAAATGACGCAGTAACGAAAGGTTCCCTAAAATGAATGCTGTAACACAGACATTTATAATAAGACACAAGTGATAAGTGCATTCCTTGGATGATAAATTTGTAATTTTGAGCCTGTTAACTCAGCATAGACAAAACTAAGAAATATGGTGGAAGGCGACAAGGTTGCCTTTTTCTCGCCTTCCCTCTCCACGTTTATGCCTTCCACGTAAGGCTGCTTAAACAAAAGAAAGAAGAACATCTTTTCCACGGGGCTTGTAAAGAATAAAACCCAAATGTTCTATCGGGGGTGGCGAGGTATTTAGCTCATTTATACTTTCTAGAGAAATGAATAACTAGAAAGCTGTCCTATTAAACTTCTGAGTTTGTGGGAAGAACTCTTAGGTTTACAGACAAAAAAAGCAATGGTTTACTAATGTGCTTTAGTGACTTAAAACAATAATATTTCCATTTTCAGGGGCACCCAACGAGAATATAGTTCAAAACCATTTAAACACAGCATTGTTTAACGTATTTTAGTATTTGAACGGTAGATATAGGCATATTTTTATCCCCTAAAAATTTTGCATCTGTTCGGATTTCCTAGCTGAAAGTCTAGTGATCCGAAAATTATTGGGATCAAAACTTACCTTTTCGAAAATTTCAGCCAGAAAAAAGGTTCCCGAAAATTCTAGGTCACCTTTTTAGGGTAAAAATCCGTTAAAAATGGGCAATTATACCATTTTGGGGGGGTTCGAAAATCCAAGGAGAGGCAGGCAAGCAAGAAATATAACAACAAATGTTCCGAAAATTCTAGATCTCAAATCGTCTTCCGAACAGATATTTTCCAAAAACTGTCGTTGGGTGCCCCTGCATTTTCAATAATGACTTGTAATAATGACTTTTAGGAGTTTGCCTTGCACTAGCATTGAATCTCATTTCCTGCTGGTATTTGTCTGGGAAATTCTGCTAAGACACAGTAGTTGCCCTGGCAAAACATCAAAAACATTCTGTCCTGAAGGAAAAACAGACTTTTGGCCGAAAAATTATACCTGAAGACTTAGGAAAAAAAACTTTCGTGATGACAATACTGTCAGATACCGAGTGGGAAACCCTCAAGAATGAGTGGATCGTAGCAGCTATTAAATGACACCTGCATTAAAAAATGCCAGCATTTAAAGGACGAATTGTAATTGAAAAAAAAAAAAAAAATTGTTCGGACATTGTTATCAAAAATATTACTTCATTCATTAGGGTACCTAAACTATATTTCAAATAAGATACTGCATGCAAATGGTACTTCAACCTCTTGTCCCTTTCTCATTGCTGTTTATACTCCCCATGCATGGCTGGTACATTAAACAAAAGACAGCTGAAAAGAGAGAGTAAAACCTTTTCTAGAGGGCTTTACTATAAAGTGTAAAACCCTGAAGGAGTAACGTGCTTATTTCGGGATTACTACAAAGTGTTTCTTGCTTCTGATTTTTTGATAAACCCACAGGAATCAGTCCAAACGGAGGTGATTTCAAATGGAGGTGATTTGATAAACCCATTGCCCGGGCGGGGGATTTTTACAAAAAGTTTGACATTACTACAGGATTGCCATATTTTAATATCGTTAGGAGTTTGCCTTGAAAAATGAATTTGAATAATGCCAAGATGCTGCCAAGAAACTAATTTCTAGCTGGGATTTGTCTGGGAGATAATTTTCTGCCAAGATCCTGACTGGAAACCTTCTTGCTTGCGTCCCTGGCAGGAACTCCTACAGAAAAACCATGTCAAGCCAGAATTCCAATCCTAGGAAGAACAAAATAAATCTGCATAGTCTCAGTAAATTTGTAAGAATCCTGACAAGGAAAATACCCATTGTTGCAGTATTTTAAGAGAGAATTTACTATATAAATTATGAAATTTAAAGCAAGGCAATTTGTTATTGAATGATTTGTTTTATTTATAGACTCAAATGTTTATCCTACATACTCACAGCAGAACATTTATAAACATTAAATTAATAATAACTTAGTAGATAACAATCAATAATAATATTGTGCAATCATAATCCATGGGCACTGGCCAACATTTCATTTGAATTGTAGTAAAGCTAACCTCTAGTAACCCTAGAATATTCAACAATATAATTTAAACTCTTGTATTTTTAACATATGCATATCCTGGATTCATTATATCAATATAAAGATAATAATATATCCCCCATTACTTCTGAAGAGCACTAGTACATGAAAGTAAATCTCTTGCTACCAGGTTAGCCTAACTAGAACATAAAGCAGTTGGAATTATGAGTCAAAAAAGTCACTTCACTCCTAAAATTGTTGCAAACTTGATTAAATATGATAGTACATATTTATAGCTCAAATGTCTTTCCATAACTTTGTGAGCATGCTCACTCCGCTCTCTTACAAACTGGCACACACTGGAGACTGCAAAAGAAAAATGTTTTCATTAAAACAAATGCCCTCAAGTACTAAAATGTACAAGAAAAACTAAATACTAGTGACCTATTATATATTTATTAAACCACCAAGAAATATGGACAGATCTTTCAATAAATATATACTCACCAAAACGAGTTAGTACTTGACTAATTCAACATCAACTTTGTAGCAAGTTTTTCCGTCTTCAATGTGGACTGGGTGACGCGTATCGGTCAAATAATCCCCTTTCCTTATCCAAGAGTCCGCGTCACACTTCCAACCAACATTCAAAACGGCTGAAACACTGTAATCAGGGGCAATAGGGGAAGGTATTGGGCATTTTATACAGTACACCAGAGCTTCTTCCTTCTTATAATTGGTCAAATCAACTTCTGTTTCACCAAGCTTGACTGACGGGGCATCCATCAGGCTTACATCTTCAAACTTCACCGTCAAATGGGAGTTTGAGGGGATGCTTTCGGGCGCGTTAGCGCGAAATTTCACCTCTCCAGTGATTTCGATCATCGCGATATATGCCTAACGAGGTTAAATTCTTGTGATGAGTAACACAATAAGTTTCCTTAGATGACAGTCACTGTTTACCTTTGAGAAAAAACCAGCTAGGATACAAACGTTAACTACGCCTCGGACCTTTCAGCTGTTCAAATAATGACACTGAATCATTTCCATCTCAAACAAACGTGGGCAACATGTGCTTCCAATCGAATGGCTGACATCCAAGTAGTCAAGCCAAGAATATATTCAAAATACTGAACGATTCATATTGAATTTGTTCCTGTTTTCGTTTTTGTGTGCCTCCGTTGCTCAGTATCTTGTACCCAGATCTCCCAAGTAAGACAGGGTGAGATCTGGACACGGCATTAGAAGAAGCATAATCAAAAAGTGATGATAATGATAATAATAATACTACTAATAATATAAATGATGATGATAATAAGTTAAAAAATGCAATTCTTAGTATGAAAAACAAGTCAGAAGTGGACCCAGACCTCTAGCTGCGTTTGGGCCTACATACACAGATAGATATAGCCTGCGAACACAGATGCATTTCCGGTTGCCGCCTGTGTTCACGGTCTACTAGGATAGGGGGGACTGGCTGTTTTAAAATAAAAATGTCTTGGTCTCGTAGGCCTCAGCTTGGCCTAAAAATAAGGTGGAGGCAGGTGGAGGCTGTTGATGGTCCTGTGAGTTGTATTGTGTAGGCCTGGCCTGGAGCTGGGGTTTTTAATATCAAGAAAATCCCAGATGACAAGGCATCTCATTATTTCATCCCAGATTTTCAAATTGCCAGAGAATTGCCAAAATTGCCAGTGGCACTAGTGAGTTAAAACTATCATCAAGTATGCACGCATTACTCCCCTAAATATGCTTGATTATTTTTATGTTATATTGGTTACCGTATTTATTCGATTAACCGCCCTGGGCGCTTATTAAATTTTTGGACCTTGAGAGTGGGCGCTTATTCGAGGTGGGCGTTTATTCGAGGCTGGGCGCTTATTAAATTTTCACCATTCTCAGCAAGTGTAGTAGTATATTTTACAACAAAACAGTAAATGGTACCAACAAAAAGTGAAGATGTAGCAAAGCAAGGTTTCTGTAAAATACTCTGAAGAAAACTCCGTCTTCAGGAGGGTCTCTTATTATCTCTTATTGGAGTTATTGTGGGAGGGAGTGGGGTGGGGTGGGCGCTTATTCGAGGCTGGGCGCTTATTAACTTTTTCTGCCTTTAGCATGGGCGCTTATTCGAGGTGGGCGCTAATTCGAGGTTGGGCGCTTATTCGAATAAATACGGTATGCATTTCTGCAGGACTGAACACCACACTATTTTTACTTACAGGTAGATTATGTTAACGGCCTTTTTATGCACTTGTGTCCCATAATATCCGTAAACCTTTTGGCTCTTGAAGAAGAAGTCATTGGACAACTCTGAACTTTGCTCATGTTTGCTGCTGCTGTTTGGAACTCTTTTTTGAACATTTCCCTAAGATGAATTCCCCTTTTTACCAGCATTTGAGCATCAGTGGCTTGTTCATTTTTGTCGTTCAGTGCTTTTTTAGCTTGTAATAAATTTTAAAAATATTGTTATTATTACTATTATTATTATTATCATCATTATTATGAATTAATATTCTTACCTTTCTTTCGCTTTTCTTTATTTGCTTTGATGTTTCCTTTACATATATATTTTATAAATTGAGGACCCGACTGTAAAACAATTTGCGTGATGTTGGCATCCTCAATGAAGACTTTTTTGAATAAAATAAATAACAAAACAAAAAAAGAATGAAACATTGCCTGTAAAACTCAGAAATCAGACAACCACAAAAACCACAAATATTTCTGGAATGATATTGTGTTGTGTTGGGAAAAGCCAATGAGGTATGGGAAAACTAAAGCACAAGCAATAAAATCAATCACAGTAGTTTGCTGTGATTGGTTGTAACACAATGTTATACATGTTCTGCTAATTTTTTGTCCATACACTTCCATGCATGGGTACAAGGAGAAAATCTTTGCTAATGTATGAGTGGTAAAAATCATTTTTACTCAAGTGCCCAGAAAGTTTAAAATATAATATTAGACCAGACTAGTTGTTACCTCTTCACTTTTATTGCCTTTTGCATATCTCACTAAATGCAAATTTAGTGATTTACATTAAAAACTAATAGGCTAAAAGTAGGCTACACAATAGCAAAAGACAAAAAAATGCTTACACCAAGAAATATCATTTACATGCCATAGTTAACGTTGGTGATATGTTATAAATAATACACTTCCTGCCAGAGTTCAAGCTGGGAAAGGCAGATCATTACAACAACTCTGTTGTCACTACTTAGAGGTATAAAATTTTACTCAAGACATCTGGCCGAGTTGTTCAAAGCTGGGTTAAGACAACCCAGGGTTAGTTCGAAATTTGAATTCAGATATGAAAGCTTAAAAAGCAAATTCAGTTTAATTCTTTTTGTCAACAATTTGATGATTGGCTACTCTAAAAAGAATAGAGAAAATTGTCCGAGAAAAATGCTTTTGATGAAAAGAAACAGAGACCTGGGTTAAAATTTAACCCTAGGTTAGTGCTAATCAGCCTTCGAACAACTGGGCCTTGCTGTATTGTATGAACCTTAACTGACATAATTGTTACATACTTATATTATTTAACTTACCCTTACCCACAATTTTATGAAATTACAGTGTCTCAAATGCTGTTCAAAAGTTCGAGGATCAATATCATGACAGTGTTTTCTTAAAATTTCAGGCATAAATTAACTTGAAATATCTAAGTAATCTAAATTTACATTGTTTAGGGAGGTCTTTACATAGATCTCAGTTAATTGTGATTTCCTTACATAGTTTTGAAATTATATTGCAAAAGTTAGGCAGTAAAATAATTTAGATATCATTAAAATTTCTCCATACACAACCACAGAAGGAGTACTTTATTTCCAGCAAAACCAAGTCTTGATTTTAGAAACACAGTACGAACTGCCACTGTCTGAAAGAAAACATATAACAATTCATATTGAATAAAGCTATGGAAAAATTCTCTAAATTGTTCGAGCTAGGAAAATATCAAGCATGCAGTCCAGAAATCCATAAGAAATCTAAAACATAACTTAAATCATCTAGAACATAATGTTAATGTTATGTAAGGTCACTTCAAGCTAAGGAAACATTGTGAAGAGCTTCTGAAACTTATAAAATTAAAAATACAATATTGTCATGATCTAATGATAGTCTATGTGAAATTGGCTATATAGAGAGAGTGAAATTCTGTAATTACATAAACTGCAAAATTCCACATAATCTACCTAAATTACAACAAGCTCTGATATGAGACCCTGCCAAGTATCTGGAAGGTCAAAGGCTCAATACTTTCAAAGACATTACTCCCATTTGACGAAAAAAACCAACAAAAACATTGGAAAGAGAAGAGCAATTAATGGAAGGAAAAAAAACAAAATTTAAGTCCCATTCTCTCTTTAATCACATGTAGCTGTTATCTTCTACACAAGCTGTCTTCAAAACTTTGCTTACTACAGTCAAAGCATGTCAAGCATTCCTTTCGTCAGTGGACTAATAAATTCGTGAATGGAAAAATGACTTGGTTTTTCGATTCAATAATCCATTCATAATATGAATAATCTACTAGTCAAATTGGACCTCGATTCAATGATTAAACGTTGATTTGGTTTACGAACAAAGTCTACCTGTTCTTTATTCTTGTCTTTTGTGTTCAATAATTGTATTTTCTTCCCTTTTCCTACAGTTAATGATTGTGTTTTTAATTGCCTTTAATCAAAATAACAGCTAGAATAGACAGACTGCAAATGCAAAGAAACTGACAAAGGCCGAGGATCGAAATCCACCAGTCACCGCACATATTCTGACCTCAGTTTGACCATCTTTTTTTTGAGAGGTCAGGTCTGTTGTACTGATTACTGGCAGCAAAATGGCATGCATGTAACAGTTTGTTTGGGTTTGAACTTTGGAACTTGCCCGCACTTGACTCTTAGAAAAAAAGATGGAAAATTCTGCAGTCGACTTGTGGAAACTGTAGTTTTTTCAAAAAACAGTAATCAAATCAACGTTCGATTATTGAATCGAGGCTGAATATGAATATTGGATCGTTCAGTTTATGATGGATTATTGAATCAACAAACAAAATCATTTTCCCATTTATGAATTTATTAGTTTGTTAGCGATGGGAATACTTCACCTGCTTTGAGTGTAATTATTATTACCAGAACAAGACAAGGGAGGAGAGTTCAACTGGCACATTTTTGGTGAAAATCTAGTACTAAATGTGTCACAGGACCAAAAAACTAAACTATTAGTCCTATTTTTACGTAATGGTCCATGTAGGAGGTAGGCAGGCAAACGGAAAAAGCAATTAAAAGGTGCTAACTTTTAATCATTAATTTCAATTAAATCAAGTGTTCTGATTGGCCGAAATCCAAAACTCACCGAAAAAAAAAGGGGGGAAACGTGACAAAAAAACTTTTTTTAGCTTCACTTTCCCCATTCCCCTGTGTTATACCTCACAGCCAAGTTTCAGTATTGTTCTATGTGCCAATCAAAAGTTAGAGCAGAAAACTTGCAACACACGTGTGACCTTGTTGTGACCCCATCTTAGACATGACCTTTGAGATGTTAGGAAATTTGTCTTTTACCCGAAGAAATCTCATCAATTTCTTCATTAAAAATCTGCATTTTTTCTTTATTGAATATTTATTTCAAATTTACTGTATTTTATCATTGGAGTGATCGTCAAAATGCTCTTCAACATGGTTTGCTGCCATCCTTGAGATGCCCAGTCACCATGTGGAAATTTGGGCCCTATGTAGTTGTTTTCTTTGTCACGCCAGATCAGGAGGAGATCGAAATAATAATTGTGGTGCTAGAAATTGGAGTACAGCTGGGCATAAAAGGAGAGAGAGAAAGATTTGTTGCTTTTACAAGGATGAATTTATTTGTCGAAGAGATGTACAACACTTGAGCTTGAGGTAAGCTGAACTCAGTAGATTTTCGCACCTCCACGCACATTATGTGTTATTCATTTGTGTTTTCCCTTTTCGAAACTTCCATATTCTGTGTATCTTTACCCATCTCTCATTTGATTTTTTTTTCTCTAGACTGCTTCATCAAGAGAAATGGAAGTTCACCAAACACCTTAAATTAAATAAAATGACGAATTGAAATTTGTGACACAAGTTTGCAATTTGTACCCTTGAGTTCTGAGACGGAAGCCACTTAGGTAACATACATGTATCTAGCTGTCACTGGTGTTTGAGTTTCTCTCGGTACGGAAGATCTAGCGAGCATGACTGTAGCTTGCCTTTATTTTTCCCAAGGACGAGAGAGGTTGCAAGAAGGATTTTTATAGGGTTACAATATCAAAATGTTGTACACAGATAAACTGTGGGAGAGCTTTTACTGAAACCCGATTCTCCGAACATGCCGGAATTTTTTCTCTCTGGGCAACATCATCTTTTTCTCCAAATGCAAAACATTTAGATTTGATTTCGTGTACTTGTTGTTGTTCTGTATGGTGGCCAAATATGAACACATGACATTGGGGCATTCATCAGATTTGCCACGTGAGAGTGAATTGCTGCTGTTTACGATCATGGTTTGACATTTCTTTTGTGAGAGCTGACGTAAATCGCTGATTGATGTAACACTGTGCTCATCTTCATGTAATTTCATATCAGCTTACCTTCCTTGGGTTTTGTGCATAGAAATCCTCTAAATTTTAGATATGTTATATTTTTCAACATAACAAATCAATAGACGAAATAAAAAGTTGTTAGAATGAGTCTTGAGCTATCTTAATTCAACTCTTACGTTCAAATTTCGCGCTTTTTGCTGCATTGACCAATCAGGGCATTCAGATTTAATTTGATTAGAGAAATTAGCGCCTTAAAATAACTGATGCTATTGCTGCGTGCTATTGCTTTCTACCTGCTTCTTAGCTGGACCATTACTTAAGTTATGAATTTCAATAAATGTGAATAAAATAATGATATTGATGGTAGCCTATCCATGGAGTGGCTCTTCATCTACCATTTCCTACAATGCTTCCCAAACTGAGGATTTCTCATGTCACCCCTTCTCAACCAACTCGTCTACCTACATTTTGCCTGTGTGTATCTCTTCTCTCCTTCACCATAATAAAATTTGCATTTGTTTGCAGTGCATAGTATGTGAATTGTAAATGGAGCGCGCTTAACATGAAAGATGTTTCTTTGTAGGTCTATACACAATCAGGACATTGGATTTGAGGAAAAGGAAAAACCAAAGTACCCTATGATAAACGACTTGAGTAGAGTAGGGAACTAAGTAGGAATTCCAACCTGGGCCATATTAAGGGCAGGCACCTGTACTGTACTTACTACTTATACTTATGTATATTAGTAACCCTTTCTCCCCAATTTAGGGAATGATCATCATGGCCCAAAACTACCGCCGTACTAGGTTGGAAAACAGTAAAAAATTCTGAGGAATTAAATAACATTAAGCTCATATATAAATTTTGCTGTGGGTAAAGTGAGTGCATTAAGGAGGGCCTTGACTTTACCTCCTCAAATGGAGAGTGAGAGCATATTTTGCATCGGGGCTTAAATAATCTTAAGCTTATATAAAAAAACCCCCTCGAGTGGGGCAAATTCAAACAACATCTCCCAGCAGGCTTCTAAATACATTCCAAACAGATAAATATGTTCTAGAACTAAAAGCACTTAACTTAATATTGAGGCAGAGGGTAAGCTCTATTGAGTTATCTAAAAAATTTATTCTTACAGCTTTCTAATATCTCAATTCGAACGTATATAGCAACTTTTCTCGTGTACGGGGTTTAACGTGTACGAGTATGAAATAAATGAGTCCTTACCGCTAATTATATTGAACCAGGGTAATATCTTTCTTGTAATCGCTCACTTCGTCTTCGATTTTCACGTTGAAGGACGTATCCGTCAAGTAATCACCCTTTCTGATCCAAGAGTTCTTGTCCGGCTTCCAGCCAACGTTCAACACGGCGGAAACACCGTACCTGCCGTGTGAGTTTGGTTTTTTGCACTTTATGGTGTATTGAAGGTTGTGAGCTTTACTATAACCAGACAAGTCGACCATAGTTTCCCCAAGTAACACGGAAGAGACGTCCATAAGGCTTACATCTTCAAACTTGACTTTCAAGTGAGAGTTTGGTGGCAGGCTATCTGGAGGGCCGCTAGCGAAGGTCAGCTCTCCTTGAACGGTCATGGTGAAATTTGAAGCAATGTTCTTGCCAGGTTCTTTGTTCAGCTTAACATCGGATCCTAATTCTTCACCTTTGGGGGGAATGACAGTGTCGTTTCGCTCTTCGTTCACTTTGACGACTTTATCTATTGGTTGTTCACAGTCGAAGAAGAGGCAACGATGTTGCTTCGCGCCGAGGGTGATAAAAATAAAGATTCCGATCAAAACAAGAAGTAATGCCACTAAAAATGGGATCACCCAAAGCGGCCAGTGACCTCTTGGTCCCTTGTAGTCGATTTCCTTGTACTTAGGCATGAAAAAGCCTTACACGACGCTGTTAAAAAGTAACTCACAGGTTAATTTCTTGAACGAATCTATTTTTGCTTTGTTTTGCGTCATTTTATTCCCCATGTATATATTTTATCTCTCTCCAAATGCAGCCAATCATCAACAAGAGAGGATAATAGTACGGTGTAACAAAAGTAAATCGCGCGCTCTGATTGGTCAGTTAGCCACTACCATTTGCCCGTGCTTACGGGTACAGACTTTACCGGGCTAGCTCAGTTTCGTGGGCAAATTCAACAAATCTCCTCTCCTGACGGTAAAATCCCGGGCGGGGTGGGGGGGACGGGGAGCGGGGTACCTCCTTATAAGAGGCTGATGGGGATTTGCCGCTGGATCATTAGTTCTTTAGGTTAACATTGATCATAGCTCCACTAATGTGCAATTTGTGTTATGATTTTAAATTATTTGGATAAAGTCGATGTACATAGGACTGTATAAGACTCCAAATAAAACATTGTCTTGTCTTGTCTTGTCTTGTCTTGGGGTCGCATTTTCACGACTGGATTAACTATATATATTGGGGTTACACTTTCAATAGAGTTACTAGAATGGGGTCGCACATTTTCGGATTTCTGGGGGCAAGACAATTCTTCTTATTTGTTAGCAAACGTACCAGAACGTTTGTACTGTAGGTGAAAAGTAAAGTGTTCTTCATTCAGTTTAAAAATGGGTCAATTCATAAAAATAGAAAGTGACTAAGTTGGGATCGCGAAAATTACATATTTGCCCCACAGTGACCAAGATGGGGTCTACAATTGATAACAGATTAGACTATAATGGGGTAGGGGCTCTGACACGTCAGCGGCACATACCCAGCAAAAATTTACCCAAATACCTCCCCCCGGGGGTAAAATGCACCGATGAAATGCACAAATGAAAAGTGGAAGTTGAAGAAAATACTCAGCTGTCGTTTTGAAGAACAAAATCAAAAGATCAAGCGACAAATTTGCCCTGGATGAATTAATCACTTTTTTCATCGCGGCTAGAATCGGCAGAAGAAAAACCGAGTGAGCGAAGATTTAAGGTACATTTTGTGTATCCCATTAGTACGCCGGAATGCAATATTTCAATATTTACTTTTTAGTCAAATCCAGAATATAACAACAACAACAACAAAAATATAATGCTCCTCGTCCTCACCACAACCCCCACTACTAACAGTACTGTCTTAAGTCAAATGTGTGTCACGTAGCACATTGACTCACCGATGAGTGTGACTTTCGCCCGGGGGGTTACTCCTTTGTATGAGTCTCATAGGCAGGGGTAGGTTTTTGCGCCGTTTTGGTCTGAAAACTGGTATAGATTTTGCCCATTTTGGTCGTTTTCGAAGGATCTACGAAAGTATTTAGGTGCAAGAAATGACGGGCGCGCAAGAGGCCAGGGAGACACGCTGACGCGTCTCCCTCTCGCGCCCTGTTCTCTCTTGCGCCCACTACTTCCAAGCGCCTTCTACGCAGTTACGGTTGTGCTACGCAGGCTACGGTTGTGTCTCAACGTGTTCGTCGTTTCAATTCCAAATGAATAAGAAAGAAAGTGTAATATTCGAATTCGACATGGATTGACCTTCAGGTCTAAAAACGGGTATGGATTTTAGAGGCCAGGTCTGAAAACGAGTGTGGGAAATGAAAATTTTCGGTGTGAAATAGGGGGTCAGGAGTTTGAGAGCCTCTACCAAGAATTCCGAGGAATTTTCGTACACTCTTTTTTTTTTATAAGAATGTTGTTTTTCCGGCCCAGGCTGAATATTCTTATTTTTCTGCCGATTTTAGACTGAAAATATTCTTGTATTATTCTTAAAATATAGCTTATGACATTTCCGTTTTGTTATTTAAAAAGGAAAGAATTTGTCATAATACTTTTTTGCGTTTTAGTTTATGTCTTTTGTGCTGAATACTGTACATATGTATTACATGTACCATGGTTCATCGAACTGTCATTAGCGTTGAACATTTTGTTATAGCTAGTGCAGGTTTCTTCGTTTTGTTTGCTAGTTTCGCCGTTCAGAGAAAGGAATAATTTTATACGGTTAAGTTGAAAACGTAAAATTGTATTGTACTTGCAGATGTTTCAACACACAAAATTATATCTGTCCTTTACAAAATCTCAGCCTCGGCTTTATTCTTAAAATATTCTTAAAATTTCGCAAATTTCAGCCTCGATATTCTTATAAAATATATTCTTACAAAAAAAAAGAGTGTATCGATATTGCCCGAACTTCCGAGACTGACATTAGAGCTGATGATCGAACAGCGTTATACCACGTTTTGCCACCAAAACACAAAAGCGAATCTACCACAAACATCAGATAATCTCCTTCTCCACATTAAGCCTTCAACCGTAGAAGTTCTCAAGATCTAACGGTCACCTGTTGGCCATGGATGGACAATGGCACAGGAAGATCGGCTTCTACATGTTCTCATGTCCAAAAGGCTGAACTTACCAATTGACAATGCGATAAATTTCTGTGTCGAGCGAATTGCTCTTGCGAAAAAAGCAGCGTTTAGCGTCAATTAGTTTCAACTTTCAGCCCCGCTTTCATGTCACATTCATTTTTACTGTTGTCGACTTTTAAAAACATAGCTACAACTCAAAACGTATACCACAAATTGAAACCACTAACTACCTAGACAAAACGAGAGTGCTTTAATCAAAATTCATCGTCAAACCTTTTCTGTCCGCTGGGTTGAGCAAAACGGTCGACGCTCCTGGACTATGGGCATGACGGAACAAAATGGGGCAACGATTTTTCGATGCTTGACGTGCCTATTTTTGTTTACTGATGCTAGACTGGCGAGCTTGGGGAGTTTAACTTTGAAAGTGGCATGCAGAAGAAATTAAAATGGCCCTGGATATCGTAATTTGGGGTGCACAGACACAGCCCCGCACCAGGAGGGCGCGAATGATTTTGTGTTACGATTTACGAAAGTCTGGGTATCAACTTGTTCTCATCCCTGGCATGAAAGCTAGGTGATGAACTAAGTCTTTCCATGAGAAATAAGCAAACGTTGTGGCAATGTGATGGGCTCCACGACTCCCGAATGTGATCTGGCTAAAACGTCCAGTTGGCATGCCAGGTATGCCAAACCTGTGCCGGTGTCACAGCGTTTTGGGCATCCCCATTCCCATATCCCTAGCGTTTTGGGTATCCCCTTCTCACATTACTGCAGCGTTTTTGGGCATCCCGGGATGCCCAAATCCCTAGCGTTCTGGGCATCCCCTCCAAAACAATTTGGGATTTCGCGGGAAAATCGAAAACCTTTTAGAGATGGATTCCGCTAAATATACAAATCTGTTCCGGTATCTTAAAAATAAGGTTTATCCGGGAGGCTTTACAAAGCAGGACAAAACAATTCTTAGAAAATTCGCCAAAAAGTTTGAGTATGACTCAAAATTAGAGTCCTTGTTCTACGTGGCCAAGGAGAAGGATGGCACAGCGCTTCGACGTCTTGTTATCGCCGAGGAAGATAAAGCGAGGGTCTTCGAAGAGTGCCACTGATGATTTGAGGCCTCAGTAATTGTGTGACAACCTTTCCTGTATCAAGTAGCGCTGCGGGGTTAAGTTGTACAGGCCTCAAATGTCATGAATACTATGAATGCAACACCGCAAAACGCAGTTTTATTCATGTTTGCCTTTTGATTCCTTTGTTTAGTATTCTTGTTTTTGGCTGTTTGGAATCAGACGATCGCAGCTGCCGGCGATTGCGGCATTGCTCGCTTGTAAACAGTTCTATTAAATAAAATTGAAAGCTTTGCAAACAATGAAGTGTTGTGCATCGAAGCGATGTTATGCGGTTGTAAATTTCAGTTTCGTCATGTTTTGAGCCAACGTTTACTGCCTATGGGTTTTTTTCTGCGCAATTAACCCGGCAAAAAGTGTCGGACGATATAATTCTAACATGCATCTACACCATTTAGCCGTAAATTCGTGATTAACAATCCCGACTTTTCCCCAGTCTGAAATAATTTAGGCAAAGTCGAAATGATCAAAAACTAAAACTAAAACCGTTCGCTGGAATTTGGAGCTGCTAACCTTGAAACACTTCGTTCAAAGAAAAATTCAAGATCGGATCGCCTATCTACTGTTACCGCCATCTCAAACAAGATTTCTGATTTGTTGTCTGACGACTGCAATTTGCTGGGGGTAAAAGATAAGCTTTCTGATCTGGACTACGCCTTTGAAAGATTTAGAGAGGTCATCACGACTATGTCTATGTCATCGAAGTTTGGGATATAAATGTCATCGCTGAGGGCCAAACTTCTCTCAGTTAGCTGAGCTGTAACGCCCGTTTCTGCCAGTGCCACGAAGGTTTCAAAGCGTTCAAGTCGAGCGGGTTCGCGTGATGATGGCAGTGCCTCACTCGTTGCAAGCGAAAGAGCTGGAGACGCTGCAAGAGTTGGCGAGTTGAAAAAGCTAAAATCGCTTTGCTCCATAAGCGCCAGGCTCTGGAAAAGAAGAAGTCTCGTTTACAGCAGAAAGAGTTTCGCCTTAACCCCGAAGCCGACAGTGTTCAAGACAACATCTAAGGAGAGGGTTCATGCAGCAATGACCACACCTTCTCTACCGGAACTGAAGCCTTTAAAACTGGAGACAGAGCTCCAGGATCAGGGTTCCACCTGTCACCAGTCCCCGCGCGAAAACAACTTTTCCAGGAGAGGTCCACCACCCAGGCCAGGGCGTGTCCGTGGATTGTGTTCTTTACGGCCCGTTTGACTACCAAGCGTTTACAGTCAGCGAGGATCTGAGAAAGGAAGCGATTGGTTTACCGCGGCAACAGACTGTCCTTCAGCTTCATGCGGAATAGAATAATAGAATTGCTAACGCGCAATCAGAATAGGGACAAACCTTTTGCAGTTCCACGTTCCTGTTTTTGATGGAAACCCCATTGAGTACCGCACCTTCGTTCGCCCTTTTGAAAAATTTGGTTGAATCCAGAACATTCTCTGACTACCTAATTAAATATGCATATTTT